TGGTGATAGGGAAGCTGGAGAGGTACAAAGGGGCAGGGGGGGAGGGGCGCTGGATCGATATCTCACAGAGGGCGCCAAATATCTCGGTACGACCCTGTCCTTGGGGCCCCTGGAGATATGAGAAAGCAAGGAAGCGAGAAGATCCAGCTCCCTTCAATAATTCCTCAAATTCCATTTTCCACGCTCTTACCTCTACCGATGATCAAGACGGACTTCCCCTCGTATTTCCTGGGATTCAGATCGAAATCGCTGTAGTTTTCCATGTATTCGGAACCTGGGATTCTCAAGCGATACGGCTTCGACCACCCCGTCGCCACGATCAACACCCTGCACGAAGAACAGCAAGCAAAGGTGACGCCTACTTTAAAGTCTGGAAAATCTGTCGAAATCAAGCAGAGACTGATCCCATGACGACGAGCAAGAAAAATGTCTCTCTCTCTCTCTCTCTCTCTCTGATTGCGTTATTTCAGTTTTTGTATGATACGATCGAGCTCACTATCATGCCGGCGTTGAAGTCTTTTCACATGTCAAATTACGTGAAACTTATGCTTTAGATTACTTAAAACTAGGGCTGTCACTCCGATTAGATTAATCGACCGGTTAATCAATTAAAGTATTCATCGCTAATGGAAATTAATCGAATTTTAATCGCCCCCCCGGCCAGAAAGGGTTCAATTCATTTTAAGGATATTATGAACCAAAACAAAATAAACAAACCGAAACGAACCAAGTTAAGTCAAAACCAGACTAAACTGAACTAAACTAATATGACAAGAGACTTCGCAACACCAACTTCGTATCAGGTTCAGATATAGGGAAAGTCCAGGGGCAGGATTATTATCAATAACTCCCCCCAACTCCCGACCTCCCCCTCCAGATGATAAGCTCGGCATACCCAAGATAAGCTCGGCTGAGCCCAGGTCGTAATGTGGTCGATCCTGTTGCAATACAGCCTTAATCCAAATATGAGAATGAAGTCATCGTCCTCATGGGTGCGATAACGATCGGAGTGTCGGGTTTCACGGATTCCAACGACAGCGATGGAAGAGCGACACCAACAAAAGACGGAGGGCGATCGCCACCTCAACATGAACGTCTATGCGACCAAGAAGACGTTCGCGATGGGGATAATGGATATCGCCCTCCTGTCCGCCAACGCCAACCAACTCAAGTACGTTCTGAAGGGAGGGCCTGAGGCTCCTCACTACCTCGTCAATGTCGTCCTCATTTCCACCAGCATTACGCTGCAGGTAAAGTTTCACGGGAAAAAATTTTTTTTTCGAGGGTTGCTGTCTTTCGATATTTGGCCTTTGCAGATCATCATGGGTCTGGTGATAGTGTGGTTGGGAAAGATGAACGTGAACGAGGACAAGACGGTCAGCAAGGCCAACAAAGTGAACAATGTCGTCGTCACCATCATTATCATCATCACGGTCCTCAACATCCTCATACCTTCCTTTGGAATCGGGGAACCCCCCCAACCTAATACTACCGTTTCCATGTGAGCCATGAGGCATATTCGCACCGAAGTGGATCTCTGTTACGTGTTGATCGAGAACGGCAGGCAATCTTTCGGAAACAAACATTTTGCAAACGGAACATGGATCGTGCCGAGTGCATCAGTAGCAAGCATCTGTTTATAACAGCAAGTGTCCTCTCTTTTCATCAAATAAATAATTTCGTTATCATTTCTGAATGGCTCGTGGATGAAGAAAACCCACGTGAGGTATAGTTTAACGATAGAGGCGCTGCTATTGAAGGTTATGAAGAAGCACATGCTCATTTTTACATCCCCAGTCTCTGTCGAGTGTTCATTCTAGCCCCTCTCCCCTGTCTAAAGACCTATTTCCCCTACCTCCTACCTTACCCCACCACTCTCCCACTTCCCCTCTCCCCAAAAGATGTTTTCTGTTGAAGAAACGTCAATCACCTGTCTAATTTCTGCTTTGTATATTGTTCTCTTTGCTTTTTCTCTGAAGGAATATAATTTTTTCTACAGCTATACAGGAAGGGCTGTCCTGAGATTTTCAACCTAATGAGTACGACCTCGCAACAAGTACTCATCTCACGACTAGATTAAGTGCTGGCATTTATAAATTTTTTCCGAGGTTCCAAATTTCGCTTTGTCCATCAGTTCACAAGATCACCAAGCATGGCAGGAGGCGTGGATTTACGACACGTGTGATCATAAAAAACCTAATCTAACGATATAACATTGGCCATAAAGTATATGTGTCGAAGAGGAATCCACTGGTTTACCAGTGACCTATATTTTCAGCCTAAGACAACGAAAATGATGTAAAGAAAACGGAATACAGGGATCACGGAGGAAATCGACTCTCCTACTCATCCTTTCACCTTGGACATTTCCGCCCCCTCCCCCTCCTCCATACTCAGTATCTCTATGTAACTTCCGAAGTTGTGTTGTTTTCATGTGCACCGAACAAGAATGATGACCAGGCTATTTCATCTGTGTTAGAAAATCCTTTCGGGGGCTCGTTTGCAAGGTTGCCTAATATGTTGTTAACCATAAATAAAGGGGACAGAAGTCTCAAGTAGGAAGTAGGAGTCATCATATAGGAGTCTATGATCCCCTTCCACAACTTCCACTTTAAAGTTAAGTGTTTGAAAAAAAGTCTCCAGTTTATTTGCTGCATGCAAATCATTCTCCTGATGGAGAAGATAATGACGCTGGCAATGATTTACTTAATGATGGAATCCTTTCTTCTTTTAGCTGCAAAGCTAAAAAATAGTTATAGCTGAAGACTGAAAGAAAGGAATAGGGGAAAAAGCTTCAATGGAGGAGTGGTTGGATGGAGTGGATGGAGGAGTATCNGAAGAAGCACATGCTCATTTTTACATCCCCAGTCTCTGTCGAGTGTTCATTCTAGCCCCTCTCCCCTGTCTAAAGACCTATTTCCCCTATCTCCTACCTTACCCCACCACTCTCCCACTTCCCCTCTCCCCAAAAGATGTTTTCTGTTGAAGAAACGTCAATCACCTGTCTAATTTCTGCTTTGTATATTGTTCTCTTTGCTTTTTCTCTGAAGGAATATAATTTTTTCTACAGCTATACAGGAAGGGCTGTCCTGAGATTTTCAACCTAATGAGTACGACCTCGCAACAAGTACTCATCTCACGACTAGATTAAGTGCTGGCATTTATAAATTTTTTCCGAGGTTCCAAATTTCGCTTTGTCCATCAGTTCACAAGATCACCAAGCATGGCAGGAGGCGTGGATTTACGACACGTGTGATCATAAAAAACCTAATTAACGATATAACATTGGCCATAAAGTATATGTGTCGAAGAGGAATCCACTGGTTTACCAGTGACAGTAGTATATTTTCAACCTAAGACAACGAAAATGATGTAAAGAAAACGGAATACAGGGATCACGGAGGAAATCGACTCTCCTACTCATCCTTTCACCTTGGACATTTCCGCCCCCTCCCCCTCTTCCATACTCAGTATCTCTATGTAACTTCCTAAGTTGTGTTGTTTTCATGTGCACCAAACAAGAATGATGACCAGGCTATTTCATCTGTGTAAGAAAATCCTTTCGGGAGCTCGTTTGCAAGGTTGCCTAATATGTTGTTAACCATAAATAAAGGGGACAGAAGTCTCAAGTAGGATGTAGGAGTCATCATATAGGAGTCTATGATCCCCTTCCACAACTTCCACTTTAAAGTTAAGTGTTTGAAAAAAAAGTCTCCAGTTTATTTGCTGCATGCAAATCATTCTCCTGATGGAGAAGATAATGACGCTGGCAATGATTTACTCAATGATGGAATCCTTTCTTCTTTTAGCTGCAAAGCTAAAAAATAGTTATAGCTGAAGACTGAAAGAAAGGAATAGGGGAAAAAGCTTCAATGGAGGAGTGGTTGGATGGAGTGGATGGAGGAGTATCCAGAAATGTCATCTTTCACGTGGCAAAAATGAACATCGTATGCATTTAGCTCAAAAGATCGTCATATTATTTCTAATCCTGTCATATATATTTTTGCCACTGAGAGACAGGGCTTCCCCATAGCATCTTCACGACATGCATAGACCAGAACGAGCTCCCGAAGAATCTGAAAGCCCCCCCCCCCCCTTAGCAGCAGACTGGAGGGAGATTGGAATCACTTCTTCCGTCAAGCAGAGATGGAAATCCATTTGTCGTCTCAAACCCCCCCCCCCCCCCCCTTAGCTGCAGACTGGAGGGAGATTGGAATCACTTCTTCCGTCAAGCAGAGATGGAAATCCATTTGTCGATAGAATAAAGAGGTGATTGGTGAAAACTTCCGTCGTCAGAGCCTTCGGTTACCAGAAGTTTTAGTTGATCTTTTCAAATCATCAATCAACTTTTCAAATCAAGTTGGAGCTGAACACATGAGATGGGGAACCTCGCTAATTAAAAGTTCCTAGAAAGGTTGTGGGAACTTGGTTTCCACACCGAGAAGTACGGGAACGCCGCTCCAACTTACTTTCATTGGTGCCCTCCAATGCAGTACCTCAATTAAATCCTTCATAAACCCATCTTTCTTTTTCCCAAAGCAACCGTACCATCCAGTCGCTTGTACACTGAGATTGAACGAAGCACAGGTGTGGATCCATACGCTCTTCCTGAAGCTAAGGAGATGCTGTTCTTTTCAAAGTCCCGTTGAGAGCGTCAATTGTTGGAGCACTCCTCAATTTCTAGGTCGACTCTCCAGGAAAAAAAGAAAACCCTTTGTCCCGAGCAGAGCAGGTGTGATCCTGCATAAATGTCCCTCAATTCTCCGTACCTAGACATGTAGAAGCACCAACGCCTCTTCTCGCTCAAGGAAGTCTGAGTAATGAGATCCGATCCGATCCGATTAGATCTGCCTGTGTCTCTGGCAAGCAAGACCCGTTGACTCGTCTTGTCTTCGTTGTCACGCGTGGCAGACCGCCAGGTGGCTCTGCCGTCAACTTCTTTTCCTTCGAGCATTTCATCAATGATTGATTTCGAATTTAAACTTCAGCTTTCGTTCTACACTGCTTCTGTGCATATGGTGTGCACCGGCACAGGCAGTCAGTTTACCCATCCCTCACGTGAGCGAGTTCCCCTCTGAGGGGAATCACACGAAATAACGATTAAGAATAGGCGAAAGATAGTCCAGAAAAGCGCAACAAGATTCGTGACGGCGAACATCATATTACAGTTGATTCAGACTATTTTATGAGATAGATCGACAAACATAAAAGGATGCATAACTCTTTTTTCACATAAATTGACCTACGATAAAGAAAAACTTGGACTACAGAGATCGTTGAGTTAACGACTATTACTAATATACCGGGAGGTTGTTTGAGCTGCGTACTACATCGCATTCCCGCTAGAAATGCATTATATAAATGTAGCGTTTCCCTTTAAACTAGGGAGGAGTGATAGAGCATTACAGCTGATAAAAAAAGGATATCTATTAGCTTACCAGCTGAAACACACTTTCCGGACTCCAAGGAAAATAAACTCGTCTCCAGTCTGGGATTATACAACGCCTGAAAACCTGGAAGTAAACAAGAGTCTCATATGCAGGAGTGGAACTTGGACGCTTGCTGTGAGGGAAAGAAAATAGCAGCAGCAG